CATTTTTCATAATAGATAAAACAGTATTTGTCAGTGACATCCAAACATATACATAAAACCACTGTATCAATTTCTATAAAATTAGAGTAAAACATCCAAGGCGGAAAACATATGGTATGTGCTCTGCAATCACCCCGAGCTCTTCCTTTTGAAAACCAAAGTACTTGAAACATAAACTAAAAACCATAAGCACAAAGCTTAGTGAGTTCCCCAAGATACCACACACCATACATTCATAGCACACATAACGGGACCCGCCCACACTCGCATAATAATGTGATACGGGCCCCGCCCATACTCGAATAATAATGTGATACAGGCCCGGCCTACACTCGAATAATGATGAGATACGGGCCCCGTCCACGCTCACATACATATAATACATAACATGTGCAAGAGTCACGTAGACAACAAGCATACTAAGCATAACAAACCACGGGTCGGCATTGGTGCCTTCGACCCGCTAAACACAATGAGGAGACTCACTTAGCACTGTTGAATCACACAGACGATCCCTGGCTGCTGGCTGACAGATTCTCGAACTGTCAGCATCAAAATAATCCCAATTAACAAGATAGGTTTCGATGCATAACCATAAATCCACACTTGGGGTAAAAAGACCATTGTACCCTAACCTAGCTTGGTCAAAGACCGAGGCCCAAACTCATACTCTGAAGGCACAAAATCCAAATAATCAACCAAGGCCCAATTTTCCAAATTGGGCCCAAACCCCTTACAAGGGCCTTACCCTTAAGCCCATCCAAATAACCTAGTGCATACCCTTGATCTTAGATGTCCCAACAAGAATCCAAACACCTAAGCCCAAAAGAAAGGCCCAACTTGAAGCCCAAACATAATTAGGGTTTTCACATAAAATGACGATTAGGGTTAAGTAAGGTCACTTAGCCCATTAAGGACTTAATCCATTAAGTCCACCACTCTACTAGGTCAATCATTCAATATGGTCGGGCATAAATCAAAATTACAATCCAACGATCCAAAACGCGGGTCCCGACAAATCCCAAACTAACATCTTCAAAATTAGGGTTTTGTAAACCCTAATTAGGGTTTCCAACTCAAGCACATGCCAATTGGGTCCAAGATTAAGTTTTTTGATTAATTAGTGTTTAATAATCCGGGCACCACCCACAGCCATCACGGGCGGTGGTGGTCGACGGTGGTTCACGACGACAGTCACCCGCACACGGCGGCGGCCAGAGGAAAAATTCCATTTACCAACCACACATACAAGTTAAACATTATTAACACACACACCAAATCACACACACAGCCACCTCCTCACGAAGGCTGGTGGCGGCAAAAGAAAGAGACTTAGCGGCAGCCACCATGGTTGGTTGTCATGGTGGTTCGCCTCACCTCCCACCAAAATATCGCCTCCTGCACAAGCTCCACGGTTCTAGCAGCAACACACGTATAACACGGTACGAGACCACAACCCTCAGCCACCAACTTGGCGGCTGACGATGTCGGAGTTAACAGAAACGGCGGCTAGCGGCAGCAAGGACGTAGCTCACTTCACACTCATCGGAAAGAACAAAGGAGAGGAGAGAAATTGGTTGCAATTAGCTTACCGAGTGCTTCCGGTGGCTCACGAACCACACACGACGAACACAGCTTCAACTCCGATCTCGGTGGCTCTTTCGGCTGCCCATGACGTTCGGCTGTAATGTTGTAGTGGCGTTTCAATGGCGAGGTAGCCGCTTGGCGGCATTGTCTGATCGGAAAAACGAGAAGAAGAGTGGTGGCGGCCGGAGAGTCACGAACGACGGTTGCCATCAAAGTAGGGTTAGGGTTTGCATCCTCCAAACGAGAGGGAAAGGTGCGCCGGTATAAACCTGGGCCGTCTTTCTAAACTTAAGTCCCTTTCTCCAAGTTCAGTCCTTCCCTTTAAGATCTTTTTTCAGATTAACTCCCAATCTTACCAAACACCCCCTGCCTTCAGAAATCTTTACAAAATGACTCTGAAAATTACACTTAACCCCCAAAATTCCAAAAACTATGACATTTAACTCCCATGACTAACATCCATAAATTATTATGGATTTAGGGCTTCAATAAAATAATATAAAAATATCATTTACATCTCAGGGTTTTAGGGTTTATTATTTATTTACTTTAATTTTAGCGGAATGTTACGTTCAAAAAAAATGTGGCATATTAATTTATTTTAATTAAAAAAAACACAAAATGATACGTGGATTTAAATTTATTCAAAAAACCATAAAATTATATGGGTCAAGTTCAATGAGAAGATGACATTTGATAAAAATAATCTTTATTTATTAGGTAATATATAGATATATATATATATATATATATATATATATATATATTTATATATATATATATATATATATATTACCTAATAAATAAAGATTATTTTTATCAATGTCATCTTCTCATTGAACTTGACCCATATAATTTTATGGTTTTTTGAATAAATTTAAATCCACGTATCATTTTGTGGTTTTTTTTAATTAAAATAAATTAATATGCCACATTTTTTTTTATGTGAGACCACTATATATATATATATAATATATATATATAGATATATATATCTATATATATATAGCTATATATATATATATATAGTATATATATAGTTAGATTTATGTGAGACCACTATATTTTGTGAGACGGGGAGACGCAATCGTAGCCACTCATTTTGTAGATAAAAAAACATTTTTAAAATACAAAATAATTGAAATTTTTCGAAATTTTTTTTAAATGTTATTTTCTTCATTTTTTATCCAAAAAAAATAATATAAATAAATAAATAAAATTACCGCTTTTTTGAAATATCTGTGAAATATTTTAGTAGAATATTAAAATATTCTACTAAAATATTATAATATTTTACATATCTGACAAATCTAGTAGAATACTAAAATATTCTAACATTCTAAAAATCACATTACAATATTTACAGTTTAATATTCTATTAAAACATTTTACGTATTTACAAAAAAAAACGGTAATTTTTATTTATTTATTTTTTATGTATTTATTTATTTTTTAATTTTTTTTATAAATAAAATGACGAAAATAATAATTAAAAAAAATCGGATTTTTTCTTTTATTTTGCATTTTAAAATTATTTTTAGATTGTGTCTTACGGTCTTATAAAATTAGCATGGTTTCAAATGAAACTATATATATATATATATATATATATATATATATATATATATATATATATATATATATAGATATATATATATATATATATAGAGAGAGAGAGAGAGAGAGAGGTTCAAATGTTTTACTATCATTTGTGTACATGTAGGATTGATTCTGTACCAATCATTTTAGTTATTTTAAGAAAAATAATTAACACATATTAAATGTTAAAGATTTAATTAATACTCATTATATCTTCTAACATGTAATATGCATTAATTATTTTTTCTTAAAATAATTAAAATGATTGGTCCACAGTTAATCTTACATGTACACAATAGATAGTTAGAACACAACAACCTAATTATATATATATATATATATATATATATATATATATATATAATTCAAAATGAGTTAGTATTTCACATTAAAAATATTGTTTAAAATTATAATGTCTCCATTTGGCATTAAATAATAATGGAAAAAAGAATCTTTGTAGGCATGATTGCCAGAAATTATTATATTCTGAAAAAAAACTGGAAAATGATAGAATAAAAATTTCAAAAAAAAATCAACAAATGTGGAGAAGAAAACAAGGTAGTAATACAGTGTGTAAAATGAGTCCTTGTACTTTAGAAGTTAATAGATCAACTCCTTTAAAAGTTAGCAGATAGATCAACCTTTTTGATTTACTCTTCGCTTCTCACCATTAACTACCATCTAGGCAAAATAGATAAAAAAAACGTCGTTGTATTTTCACTTATTATTTTTATTTTAAATACTAATGCTAGATAATATGCAAGTCCAAATATGTATATTTTGTAATAATATATTTTTAGTTGAGGTTAATAAAATAGCTTATCATAAATTATCAGTTCCATATTTTAATAATAGTTGTGTTACATCGTTGTTAATAAATTACAAATAGCTAGATATCAAATAATTTATCTATAATAACATAGTGTAGCAAGTAAAAAAAGATGTATAGAACCATGAAGTTCAATTTACAATTCAACATCATCTTATCATATATGAATGCAATATTGTTCCTTGATAAAGATCTTAGACAACATGTTCATAACATTTCAGAGGGTGAAAGCCCCACATACACAATAAGAAAGTCGTAGCCGTAAAATGTGTTATGATGATCATGAGCTTGTTATAGAAAAAAGAAAAGATATATAGTCTATAAAACCGATCAAAGGATTATGCATTGATATTGTTCGGCAATGCATTAGGTTTGTTTGGCAAATAGTGAATAATTTAGTTCAATCATTATGAGAGTTTGTTATGATGATAGAAACTTAGGCAAGTACAATTTCTATTTCCCAAATTGCATAGGAATATTTGAAAGGTTGTTGGCCACTACTAAATAAAAAGCTTGCTACACACATGATGAAATCCTAGTGAACTGCTACTTCCATAAATATACATATTCATATGTAAATGTATACCTCAGTAAATTGTACAAGCATGCTTCCAAAAGACCTTTGTAAGTTTTATTAGTAATGAACATAAAAGACATGTTCAAACTCAAATGATAATAACAAACAAGATATTGATAACCATATGAAAACTAAAATTTTCAATGAATGAAAGTGAACATGATTCTTTTTGGGTTTTCTTAGTAGCTATTATTCTCATTGGGTAACTTTTATTTATCAAGTTTGGACATTTAAGTTTTTCGTGGATTACTAAGAATATGCTATTGAAAGTATATAAAAAAAGAACTCAAAGGAAGTAATTTGTATGAAGACACAAACCCAAAGGGAGAAAGGTGAAAATTGCAAGGAAAAAAAAGATGAAAGAGGAGTTAACCCCTTAATTATCAACTATTTACAATATTGCCAATACGGCTTCTTTATTCTTTTTCTTTCTTCTTAAAGCACTTGAGCCTATTTCACAGATGAAGAAGCAGAGGAAGAGAGCAGGTGGCCTTCTCTCTTAAGCCATCTCTCTCTCCCCCCTTCTTCTAAACCACTTTCACGAAGCTCACATATATATACGTATATATGTATGTATATATACATACTGTCAAATCTGTTCATAGTATCAATTATCAGCTCCCTTTAAGCATCCTCCGAAACCCTTTTCTTTCTGATGATTTGTCTGATAAATTCAGCAAGTGAGGAAAGAAAAGATTGAATTTTGAAAGAACCCTGATAAAATCTTGTCAAAAATGGCGGATTTGAAGGGAAAAAAGACTAACAAGTCAAGATTATCACTAAAAACCCTACCTTTTTTCTTGTCTTCATCCAATGATCAAAACAAGTCAGTAAAGAGATTTGGAGAACAAAACGGTGTCGTTGGGCTGGGAATTGTGGTCGCTTTAAACAATGAATCATCGGGTCATAATACCCAGAACCCGGTTTTCTCAGTTTCACCCAGATCCAACCCGATCCCGATATTTAGCAAGAGACCCAGTAAGGATGATGTTGAAATCGAGTTACTGGAGGAGTATACATGTGTGATATCGCATGTGGGGAATAATATGATCAAGAAAAGGGAGTATTTTGATGATGGGTTTAAGAGAAGAAGTGTTAATGGCGGTCGGACTACTAGCTATTGGGTCAGCACCACCGGTGGTGGTGGTGGCGGTGGTGGTGGAGTGTTTTGTTCTCCGTCGCCTCCGGTGGTTATTGGTGGTGGAACGGTGTTTGAGGATGGGGATTTCTTGAGTTCTTGTCATCTTTGTAAGAAGAAGCTTCATGGGTTGGATATCTTCATGTACAGGTATTGAATTATTCTGATTTGTGATTCTATAAAGTTGTGAACTTTGAGTTATTTGATACTTGTTTAGAACTCATTTCTTGAAGATTTTGGGTTCTATGATTAATTTGCTAAAAGTTGATGATTGTTGGAGTTCATTGTTTTTTATTATTAGTGTATTTCAAACTGGTATTCAAAATTCAAAGTAAATAATAGCTCTTGATTTAAAGATCCATCTTGAGGTGAGGGACGTTTTTTTCACTGCATGTAAAGTGTTTGTTTAGAATTAATGGTGGTAAAAAATAAAAATATAAAAAGACAAAAAGTATTTACGAAAATGTAAAGGGAAATACACGGAAAAACGAATGAGTGTCAGATTTGCAAAAAGTTAGTGGTGTACTTGGAATGCTCATTTCCAAGAGAAAGTAGCTCTTTTTGTATCAACTTAAAGAAAAACAATCATAGATAATACATCAAGTGCCATTTGGCCTAATGATATTTTAACAATCCTTTAGGTTGTGAGTTTAATTCCCTATAGGCTTTGTTAGAGAATATTTTTTAAAATAAAAAAAATATTCATGGCTTTTATATAGACAATAAGATAGATCGAGAGGGAGCAATCCCACTTTTTTTGTAAATTACATGTGAAAGACATTCTAACATATTTTGTTATGTGGCTATGTCACGTTATCTCTTGTTATGTGTAATAAACAAAGTTGTAGATACTTATAGTATCCATTTGTAACTAATTATTCTTATTGTTCTTTTTAGAGGTGAGAAAGCGTTTTGTAGTGAAGAATGTCGATACAAGCAAATCTCCATTGATGAACACAAAGAGAAGTATGCGTCGGGTGTGAGGAAACAGCCTGAATACACTGAGTCTCTATGCTCCAGTCCTATGCAGCTTCCTGCTGGGATGATTGTAGCATGAAGGTTTTCGAATTATATATACATATATTATATATATAATATATATAAATATATAAATATAAATAACGAAAATGGAATATAAAATGAAATGTGGTTCGAAAACGAACCCGAATAAGTTACTTTTGTTCGGAAGCAAAGAAAAGGATAAAATGTGAATCGGGGAATCGAAGGTGAAAGAGGGGTTTTAGGGTAGTATTTGTTTTTTGACTTGGAAGTTTTGTTTGGGATTATGTTATAGTTTGTAATGGAAGGATTGGGATTTTGGATGTACGAATACAACTAGTCATGCACAATGTACAAGTTGTTGATGCATGAGTTAGCGTAAAGCATTTTTGCCTACTTCTAAGTTGTTTAACAACTTGTTTTGTCACTTGATGTATGTTGTTGATTATGCTTATAACCTTTTAACTGACGTGAAGTTTCTATTCGTTTACATTTGTGGTTATATTCGACAATATGTGGTGTGAGAATGGGATTTGTTGATACATAACTTTTATTTTATGTTGATTTTATTTTTGTTTTGTATTATTTTGATATCGGTTTTTGTTGCTTTTCAGCTTCTGTTGCGTTGCGACTGAAGAAAAAAAGAGTTACATAAACCTAGTTTTGTTTGTTTTAGATTGGTTATACTACTATTTGTTTATTCTTATTCATATTGATTATGTTTAATATTTATTTTACTTCTCATTTGTGACTAGTGAAACACGTTATTGTTTATGTGATTATTTAACTATTCATTGCTTTTATATGTTTATAATTGTGTACTTGTTAATTGTTATTCTGTATCTTACTTAATTGTGATTCACATGTTTTAGTATAATTGTTATTTAGAGGGTGAAATGGTTAGAGTTTCTAATCATATAAACAGGAGGATGGACAAATTTACGACTAGAAGTTAGAACAGCAAATTTCGAACAAACAGTGAATATGAGGGTTTGTTCAAAAAGGAATTGTGAAAAAGAGTTGTTTTAACTTTTAAGTGTTAAAAAAGATTTATTAGACTTAGTTTTTATATTATTATTTATTTATAATTATTTATATAAGATATTTTAATTGTTTTGAGTTTGCTTTTTTTGAGAAAAATACAAAATTCGGGCCATGGACATCCATGTTTAAACAAAGTATCGTATAACTTAACCGCCATCAAGATTACATAGTAGCGATCACTTGAAATAAACACTCTAAAATAGAGTGATCTCACAAGTTTTAACAATGGAACATTTAAAAAAAACGCATATTATTATAACAACTTAACAAGTAAGAAAGAAAGAAATTATTCAGCACCTTCCATCGATACTTCTAATAATACTCAAATAAAATGTTTTGTCGTGATGTATGAGAATAATGATAGCTATATGCCAAAAGATCTATGAATAAGCCCATGCTTAGCTAGCCTAGCAGTAGTCGAGTTGTGTCATGCAAATAATTAATTGTGATAGCAACTAATAAGCTTTGTGCCTTTGTCAAGCAAACAATTAACAATGACAGCAACTAATATAGTTCCTTTTAGGCTATTATCTACTATTAGTCTATTACTATAGACTAGTAATAATAGAATATGTTGTAATATGATGAACGCAAGAACACATGAAATTTTAAAATTAATTATGATGTAATAACTTCAATCGGTCCAACCGGCTAAATATCAAACAGGTAAATTAGCGATCGTCCATCGATTCAATGACTAGTCTGATCTTTTCCTCATGCTTAAGATAGTAAAACAAGTATTGGTTGCATGTTCGTCTCATCTTTTCCTCATGCTTATGTCTAACCGGTCCCGGTTAAAATTGTATAAATTTGAACATGTGCTTTCTCGCTTAGAGAGGTGGGTGTGGGCAACGCCCACACGCGTTACTAGGAGAAAAAACAAGAAAACGCTGTTACCAAATGTTATGCTGGTAACAAGAAGCAACGAGAATGCCTTTAACACGCAATAACGGAAGGAAGGGGCGGTGTTCATGTTATCACGTGTTCTTAGGCACAATAACGTCCGAGTAGTCTTAAGTTTGACCATGACCCAAAAATTTCACCTTTGATGGCATACAACTAAGTTTGAGTATTCCTAAAAAATTCACTTACAGATAGTTCTAACTCAAGATGGCAATATTCAAATTTAGAATTTTAATTTTCCATTACCATTATTTAAAAAAAAAAACGAAATTGTAAAAGTGGTCACTGGTTTTTTTTTCGGGTTTTGGTCTCTATTGTTTTAAAATTGCAAAATTTCGTCATCTTCAAAAGGTTTATCTGTGAATTTGGTCTCTTCCAAAATTGAAATGAATGTTATACCTTTAATTTATTATTATTATTATTATTATTATTATTATATATATATATATATATATATATATATATATATATATATATATATATTAAAGTTGTGGAGAAAATGAATAGTTAACTTGACACATTTTGTCCAGTTTTAGTCCTTTGAATTACATTTCCGGTCCCTGTATTTCTTTAATTAATTTATTCATGTCCTTTTGTTTTTGTTTGTGTTCCATTCAACTTCCCATTTTTTTGGCAGAATTGGTCCCTGTATTATTATTGGAAGTTAGGAATACTAAATTTGGATGTTTTTTTGACAATTTTGCTCATTATTCTTTACCCATTTTGACATTTTTGGTCATTGCAATCAATATTTTTATACTTTTTTGGAACCTTTTAATATTTAAAGTTTGGCCACAAAACTTTAACGGTTTGACAACTTTGATCCCTTTTCTAAAAAGTTACTAATTTCTACCCCTTTAATTCTTTAGCCATTTTCACACTTCTGGTCCTTGCAGTCAAAACTTTTACATTTTTTGTCCGGGGCAAAGCCCGGACTTTTCATCCTTGCACTTTCTATGTCTGTCATATTTATCAATTCGGAAACAACATTGAAAGCTTTTGGCCCCGCGTAGCGGGGGTAACCTTTCTAGTTTAAGAGTAAAATTGTGAAATTGTCCAAGTGGATTGTATTTTTTTTCCGGGTTTTGGCAGCTAAAGTTGAGTTTTTTTCAAAAGTGATATTGTTTTGGAAATGCTTTGTACAAATGAGGTTGTTTCAAAATGTTTTTGTAAAAATAAGGATGTTAGCCCACATTCGATTGCTTAAAATTACATAAATGGTCCTTCAAATATTTCGATTTCAACCCTTTATCTTATATGATAGAAATGGTTCTTTTTAATTTACAGTTTTAATATTTATTTTATATTAGGTGTGAGACTATTAGATGAGTTTATTTAAAAAAAAAAAACTAAATACAAAATTCAAATATTTGAGAAGTTTGAATTTATTAAAAAATTGAGAAAATATTGAATTATAAAAATTAAAGTGTTTTTTTTCTCTTTCAAATTTAAATAAATAAATTAGATAAATAAATAAAGAAAATTAATGAATTTTTAATTTAGTAATTTTGAAATTAGAATGAAAGTTATTTAATAAAATTGATATGCATTTATTATTATATTTAAATACTATCTAGATTTTAATAAAATGAAAAAACCATAAAATGACACGTGGAATAAAAATTAATTTAAAATAACCAAAAAATTACATGTAGCAAAATAAATGAGAATGTGACATGTGGCAAAAACAATTTTTATTTATTAGGAAGGATGACGATATGTTTAAAATATATTCTTAAATTCTATTTTATATCTTTATTAAATTTCACATATAATCTTGTTTATTATAAATATTTTATTAAATTATATATATATATATATATATATAGTATATATATATTATATATATATATATATATATATATATATATAGGGTTGGGTTCAATAAGAAATCATTTTAATGCTTAGAACCAAGAACCAATCTTTTCTCAACTTTTAGAGCAAATTTTTCATCATTAAAAAAAATCCCTAAAAATATAGATATTCATAACTTTTTATCCTTCATCCATTGATATCAAATTTGATATAAAACTGATCTGTTCAGATTCACACTGTGAACAGAATTTATTCAGATTTGCATTGTGAATCTGTATAGATTCACCCTGTGAAATTTATGCAGATTTACAGTGTGAATCTATGCAGATTCATACAATGAATTTATATAAAATTAATGATTTATAGTGCAGATTCACAATGTGAATCTAAACAGATAAAAAAATATATATATATATATATATATATATATATATATATATATCAAATTTGATATCAATGGAAAGAAGATAAAAAGTTATGAATTTCTATATTTTTAGATTTTTTTCGATAAATAATAAGATCTAAAACTTTAAAAAATAATGGTTCCTTGGTTCTATGATTTAAAATGATTCCTTGTTGAACTTTGCATATATTATATATATATATATATATAGATATATATATATATATATATATAATATATATCTATATATATATATATATTATATAAGTAAGTTCAAATAAAAACAGTAAATAGTGTGAGAACGTAAAAACACTATATTTATATTATTATTCTGTAATGAATGTTGTATATGTGTATTGTTGAAATAATTTTAATATGAATATTAATGTTTGATTAGTCATATATTCATTACAATGCTATTATTCTATTATAAACTTATGTATATGTATTTTTGTAGTGAATTCTAAATTTAGTTTTAATCTGTGACAATTTATTTATTCCTTGCTGAATAATGACATAAAGCTATGGATACAAAATTCATTGCAAAATAATAACATAAAAATAGTGTTTTTACGTTCTCACACTATTTACGGTTTATATATATATATATATATATATATATATGCAAAAGCTTATGAATAGTTACAAGTTGTGAACCGAGCCAAACCACCTTCCCCTTAGTTGACTGGTTTGAAATCGTGGTTTTTGTTTAGCCGGCTTCAACTCTTTGGTTGCGGCTAAATTGGAGTTGGTCATATCGCCTTCTTCATAGCCACACCACCACTGTCTTCCAGTCATATGACTATTTCATAATTAACGTGTCCTTATCGCTTTCTCCTACAATATATGTGCTCCAGATATATCTTTCCTTACTCCCCATTCGCAGATGTGCGTTGCTCTCCGATGCGAGACAAACCTCCATTTCTTCTACATTCACCAAAAGAGGAGGTATCAGCGGTTGAATCTAGTGAAAGCAGGCCGATGAGCAGCTTCACCGCCGGCGATGGTTGTGATGGTTAGGGTCAAGGGCAGATGTAAGCGTTGAGGTATGCCATTTATTTTGAATCAGTGCCTCTAATTCTCTTCCTGTTTTATAAAAGTATATTTGACCTAATCTTGTGATCAATTTCTTCTGCAATTTATGTAGATTTTCTTTCGGTCACTGGTGTTTGGTAATTTTATTTGTTTATCTTCGTTTTACATGCTTTTTAATGTTACGTGTATTGTTTGATTTGTGTGTCTTCTGACTTATTCTACTTATCTATAGTTCTGCATTTTCTGCTCCAGGGTGAAATCCAACTTCTACTCTGGTTGCTTCCTTCGGTTTTCTTGGTTGTTCACAACAAAAATAACTATCATGTAAACTT